ATCATCACATCTTATGGACCCGACCATCATCTCATAAACTCTTTCTTTAAATCTTTAACTCCCATGAAAATAGGGGTTTCACTTCCCTTCCTTATCAATACCCACACGTTCCACTTAAGGGAAACAACTCATCCCATGAGAATAACAACTACTAAAGTTTAAAGCCGTTTTACCCTCATGCTTTTAGTCCTAAATATTAATCTCAATAAACGATAGAAAGCCTAGTTAATCTCTGAAAATTAATTTAAAAATTAAAATAAAACGTTTCGGATGTGATTTGCAGCAATAGCCTTTGAGCCCCATCATGAACTTCTCGAAACCTACTACGCAAAGGAATTTTTATGCTGAAATTTGGTCATAACAGTAAGCTCACTTGCCCTTATCTCATTTCCTTTGAAGCTCATTATTTGATGCATTTAAAAGGTGTTTATGGTATACATCTAGAGGCGTAACTCTAATATGTTTCCCAAACTGTTATGGACTTTATGTTGCTGAAATTCTGAGTACTTTCATCCATAATAGTGACCTCTAAGTGTGTTTTTGAAGTTTATTTGGTGCCATCTCGTTCCCATTTTGTGTTGTGATGTCCTTTATATCTTTGGTTCCTATGGCATGCGATTTAGTGTAGTTTTGGATTGTATTCTTACCATTTAATGAGAGCTTATCCCTTGATGTAAATCTGATTTCCTAAAGCCATAACAGTGAGTTACAAATGTTATCTAGGGCCTCATGTTGGACTCTCCCATGCCCCTTTGATGATAGAAGGCAATAGCAGACCCATGAGTTAAGGTTACACCATTTGCATCTCAGTTCAGCCAATTTTCTCCCACCTAATGCTTTCATTGTCCTATATCCCACGTGAGGTTCATTTGGCCCATATTTTATAGGTGAGTACTTGTTAGTCTTACTTATACTTCCTGGCCCATATTTTAAATGCGAGTACTTGTTAGTCTTGCTTATACTTCCTGTGTTTAGATGTGATCCATCCCTCTTTCGCTATCATTTGACAGTGATAACGAGGGTTGTACCGAAACTATTATCATTAGTCGTGCTGTAATTGAGAATTAAATCGGTTTCCCAAGGCCATGTCAAACTCATGTACATTTGATTTTTATTTAACTACGTTTTTTTTTTTTTATCTTCTTAGTATATTTTAAACTGGAAGTCTTGTAATAGAGCAAAGCTCTTCATTGTAAAGTAATTATTGGAAGTTGTTTAGTGGAAGACAAGTGTACTCTGTAATCTTTTTATTTTGTAGTTATGGGGATTTCCCCAAGGTTTTGTAAGCATTTGGGAAGTAAATTGAAAAATTTTATTTGTACACCTTGTGTGGAGTCCCTAGTACTACAAAAAAAATTTAGTGCTAAATCTCGCCCTATCTGGGGAGATATTTATGTCTAGCAATTGAGCTTTTGCATAGTTTTATGGCGATTGTTTTTTTACTGCTTGAATCCTTAAAATGTTGCTCTCCCATGATTGATAAGGAATTGAGTCAAGAATCTAGTGGTATATTCTTATGAGAAAAATCCTTATAAATTGATTGTATAATCGTATAAGGTGATTGATTGCAGAGGGTTTTAGGGTATGTCAAGGCCCTGGATGATAAGTCCTGACTTTATGCACCTCCTTATGATATTTGATACAAATCTATTCTGAAATCGTGTTCATTGGCCTTGTATCTTGAACCACTATTTGTTAAATGTAAATGAGCTTGAAAGCACTGAGGCTCTTATTCATCTCATGCCTTGTTATTATCTTTTGCTGTCAAAAGTAAAATTTGTCTAGTGTGTTTACTCAAGGCATTATTGGTCCGAAAACACACCTAATAGCAAGGTTGCCCCAAATGTTTGACTTGGGAAACCGACTAGGTCAGTTAGAGTTATCGTTGGCCAACAGGGCTATTGAAGTGATTGTATTGAGCCTGGTTAAGTGCATGATCAAGTGCTCGGATGTTATAACCTCGACTTACTAAGTCTCTTAAGAGGACTTTCAAGACAACATGCTCATTGATGGGTGATGAACTACTATTGGCACTGCTCTTTCTATGTTATTAGACCGAAATAGGGAGCGAAGCCCATGACTGCAACTTGATTGCATTGAAGATTGAGGTAATTTTTGGTTTAATGGCCGAAGAGCAGAGCTGGATCTTCAATTAGTGTTTTACTTCTAGTGGTAATCCTTGGTTTATGTGATTAGCTGGTTGTTGACTCTCAGGTTCACCCAGTTCAGGTTGGCTGGCTCGAGGTTGTTAAAGGTTTGTACTTGTAGTCTACCTTGACCATGCCGACTAGTTTGAAGGTTGATTCCCATATCTTGGAGAATTGTCTATGGTCTAATCCCTTGATTAGTCAGGGTATTTTTAGTCATGCAAAATTAGAGGTAAGTTGTTCCTAGATGGTGTTAATGAGAACTACCAAGTTGGAGACTGGGACTTCTAATTATGGTCCCACTTGGGTTAAAACTAGGATCACCCATTGGGACATCATGGCTTTGAGGAGCATATATGTGGTGCCTCTCAGATTGGTGGTTCAATGTCTTGGACCTTCACTAGGTTGGGACTGTGGATTTGAGGTCTTTATTGGACCTCACCCTCAATTAGTCTTGAGACATAATTTTAAATTTATCCTATTTTTATTCAGACTAGGCAAATACCAAACCAAAAGTTTTCAAAGTTTTACCTTGAGTTTTCTATAAGTAAGGTAAGGTTCAAGGTGGGGTTCCTAGGTTCAAGGAATTGCCCATTTAGGTCCTGAGCCACCCTTGATTGTTATGGGGTCCTACTATTATGGGCCTTTTTTAAGGCAAGGTATTGCAGAGGGGTAATTATAGTTAAAGTTGTGTGACTCTCAACTGCCCGGATTGCATATGTGTGTAAAAATCATGGCAAGCACACATTAATAATAAGCAAGTAAATAAATTATTTGAAGAAAATATTGTAAGCAAAACCTCAAAGATAAGGCTATGATAGAAAGCAATATATATATATATATATATACATACACATCGTAACCCATTCCATGCCCGTGCCCGGGTAAAGGGACATGGTTGTGTTAAGTAGGCAGCCAACTTAAAATTTTGACAAACCCCATCATGAATCCTGATAAACTAGCCACCCCATCATGAACCTTGATAAACTAAAATAGAATGGAAATCAGGATTCATGTAGCCGACCCCAATTAATTGAAAAATAGCTAAAATGATGATGATGAACTAATAAAAAAAACAAGCAGGAATAAAACTATGAAAACTAACATGGATCCAAAAGGCTTCGAAGGGCCCAAAACTTTAGTGACGCATGTTGCGTCATTAAATCAATTTAGCGACGCATTCTTTAGAAAGGCCAAAAGTCTTTCCAAAGAGAGAATTGGGCTCTATAGAAAGGCCCAGACTTCGTAGGCTTTAGCGACACAATTTCCTTCAATGAACTCATAAAGTCCTACGATGTGTTTTGCGTTGCTGAACCCCAACCACCACTACATGGTGTGGGATGTCTTGCCGTGTCAAGTGCTGGAGGTTATCAACATCAAATGTTTCTTTGGGGTCACAATCCACAATTTTCTACCTTTTCAAGTCCTATCCTACAGTGGATAGTTTTAAATCCATCGAGTTTAAGTTCAGGTAGGTTTGGGTTGACTGGGACAAATTCAAGATAATTAAGATTGGTTTGAATAGATTTAGAATAAACCTAATGGTTTTCGGACTTCTTCTGAAGATATCTTAGGGATTATGGACTACATGCTATAGTGCACTGGGGTTCACTAGGCTTGTACGGTTCCTAATAGTTATTCTTGGAGTTTTCTTAGCCAAAACTTAGAGTGGTTGTCTACAAATGTTTAGTAATTTATTTGTTTTTTCATGCAGTCTCTGGTTTATCTGTTCAGAGTCATATCTCTTCTCAAATTTTCCTTACTCACTTTTTAAGTAAATAAATATCTAACAACTCCACTGGGATGAGTTTATACTATGTATGTAATTTTAACGTATGCTCTCCCTTGATCTCGAAGCACAAATCTCACAAAACTCTCTCTCTGTCATGTCAAGGCACCTAATGGGCATCTATATCATGATTAGAACCATCCAAGTCCCCCCTAAACAAGGCCATTAAGGCTGAAGCACCGGTCACCAAATATCTGAAGACACTTTGGTTCCCGCTCAAGCCTTCCCCCCGATAGCTCTGCCCATGAAACCCATCTTCCCATCCGAATCATCTACATCATCACAGAGATCGGCCAACCCTGGCCTCTATAGATATGGTCTTCAATGCTAAGGGGAATCCTGCCAAAGTCATCACGATCTATCTGAGTCGCAAACCTAACGGAGTCCATGTGAGGGCAGTGTACACTCATCCCATAACGGCCACTGATTCACATATTCATATTATCCTGACTACATCTGGGTGAAATTCCATGGGGTACCATGCACATTATGCATTCCCTCCCTTGAAGGCTTTTCCTGCCCAAAAGGTTCTGGTCAGGGTGGCTAGGACTAGTTCAGCTCACCTTGCTCTAGATGCCAATGGAAAGGCCACGGTCACTCAAACCTATACTGGGGCATCGGTAGTTAATGAAAGGTGAAACCATCCCATGGCTGGGGTAAAACCCTTATTCCCATGTCCAATAATACGGAAACCCGGACCAGTGAGGTGGGCCGTCCATACCACATATCCATGTCAAAAGAGATCACTGATCTCGATCAGTACAAATTGGCAGTCCAAAAAAAATTCTAAAAAATAAAAAATAAAATAAATTAAAATAGGTTAATGGTTGTTTAACAGGAGGCAGATATAGGGCTGGTGTAGCTCAAATCGGTGTGCCCTATAAATGAGAAATATCAAAGTTAATGAGATCGTCGGTCTCTCTCCGTGAAAGACTGGGGATCTCGTCTCTCACAAATACAGACATGGTTAATATGTATCAAATTACCTAAAACAAATACTGAGTTTCAAATGGTAATGAATAATGCTAGTTTAGGTTATGGTATCACTTATGGGACCCGGCAAATGAAAAATAAAATAGCTGGCCATAGCTTGATCGGAAATTTTCTGTTTTTACATTTTAACAATATTACCTGCACTTATTTCGCAAACAGGGACTGGCACCAAGAATGAAGCTACCCTCCAGTGATGGGCAGATATTATTGCTTCTTAATATACAAAAAATGAGAGAGAGAGAGGAGAGAGAGAGAGAAAGAGAAAGTGGAGAGAGAGAGAGAGAGAGAGAGAGAGACCCATTGGGGTTCATGAGAACCATCTCTTTCCACTTTTGAGATTCTTGACTGTCATGACTAGTTCCTCACGCTCTACTTCAACTTGAGCAAACCGTAAACTCATATGGAGATATCGGTCACGAAGATCCTTCAATTCCATCTCAAGAGACTTCATCTTGTCTCCATGTTTTTCCCCCAGCTCATTTTCAGATTCAATCCATGCGCCCAAACTTTTGATAGTGGTGTCCTCAGGCAAAGAGCTACAAACATTTCAACAGATGAAGAGTCCATGTGATCACATCAACTATACAGCTCTATTTTGTTTTCGCTTGGCAGATAAAGCATCAAAAACGAAGTACGCATGTAATTGCTGCACACTTTTCAGTAATATGAAGTTTAAAATCAAATTCCAAGACCCATAAATGTAAATAATTACCACTAAAAAGTTCCTTTTTCCTTAAAAGTCCTACTAGGGTACAGATATAGGGAGAGAGGAAATTCTGCATAGATGTCTCTATGTCAATTAGGATGAACATCTTTGATATAAGACAACAATGAAGCAGAAACAAGAAATGGAGGGATTAAGCTTACAAGTTGAAAGAAATCAGCTTATTGAACCTAGGTTTCATGGTTTTGAATCCAGGAATGGCAATGTGTATTTAGAAGACACTACTGAACAAAGGGTTTGTCTCATAACTGGTATTGCCAAAGGGAGGATATTCCAAATTGTTTTTGTTCCTTTGGCACCCATATGTCAATATTGAAAAATAATTGATTGTGTATGAAGCCATTGGAGAACCTACTTCATGGTTGGCTCTCTTGTTCTCTTAATATTTTAAATCTTAGACTAATCCTAACCATAATTGGTTCATGGCTTTGTGTCCAACTATGCATTTTCTTGCTATGGAGTGAAAAGTTCATGTTGGGAAGGTATCATCTTATTACAAAATAATTTATACTGTAAAAAAAAACAAAGTTTTCATTGTAAAAGAAGGACACAATATGGATTGTTCCTGCCAGATTTAGACAAATGGCCACCAAAAAGAGATCCTTGCACCCTTTGTTTTATTCTAACCCTAGGTTTGCTAGGATTTATGCTTTGAAGCGTGAGTTGTTTTTTCTTATGCTTCAAGCTCTTTTCATAGTGCAGGTTTCTGCTATTTTCAGTTGTAAATTTTTTATTTTTGCTATGTGTCTCAACTTCGGAGTAAGTAAACTTGCCTTTTTATTCGTTATTGTGCTTGATCTGTTAATCTCTAATCTATACTTATCGCAATATTGACTAGCATTGAGCCAATTAATGTAGAACGATCAAGATGCACTGGAACTAGTAATATATTTGAAGTATGAAAGCAAGCATAGAAAACCACAAGGATAATCAGTAAGAGGTAACTGCAGTCACTTCTTCACAACTTTAGTTAGAGACATCCAGTACTAATATGCCAGATAATAGCCAATGTTCTAGCAATTCTACCATGTAATATACATCCCAAAAAACAGAAGTGCATGGTTTCTTCTTCTCTTCAAAGAATAGTACATGGATTGAGAACCACAAGAAGAATATTTGATATTCCAAGAATGTCCATGATGTATTACTGAAACTAGAAATTTTCATTGAAAGAATGCATTAAGAACCACAAGAAGAATATTCCATACTATGAGCATGTTGATGATACAATATTGAAATTACAGATATTTTCACAGAAAGATAAAAGACAAATAGTTTTCAATGCGCAAAATAGCATGGATAGCATTGGAACAAAATGGAAGCAGAAATGGAGAGAGCAGAAATAGTGAAAGTAATATTGAATATGAATTACTTCTGAAGCTGGACATCATTCTGCTTGTTTTCTTCTGAAAATTTGTCTGATTCAGTTTCTAGAAATCGGCCATTGCAAATATAATCACCTTTTGTGATTTCTTGAGGTAGGGGCCTACAACCGTCTAAGGGATTGTGGTCCTGAAAATTGAAGAAAAAGCAAGAATGGTAATCAATGAATCTTTTTTAGCAAATATGAATATTCAATTTGCCTTTTGGTGTTCAAACCATCAGACTTAGAATATTTTTTATTCTGAAAAGAAACTAAGCAAATGAATTGCCAATGATCGATATTGTAGTAACAGAAAGTGAAGTAACCTCATTAAATATGTAATGAACAGTCTAATTTGGAGTTCACTTGTCTGTAGCACTATACCATGAAAAAAGGCAGCTCCAGGTCCAAGGTGAAAAATCGTCTGAAATGAAATTTGTTTAGACTAGTTCTCACTGGTTTAGACACCGATGTCAGTTCCCGCTTATCAGTTAGTTTGTTTTCTAGAGGCTACTTTTTATTTATGCACTATATAATAGTAACAAAAGTACCCAATGTCTAGGATTCAGGCACGGAATTGAGTGGTTATGGTGTTGATGGGTGCAAAACGGAGTCACAAGTTTGAATCTTAAAGCTGAAGTTTACAAAAAGAAAAGTAACCATTAACTAATACTACCTTAATAGAAAGCACTTTCAACGACACAATTCTAACCTAAACCCCATAAAGGAAAAATTATTTCTGACAAGAAATACAATTGTTCATGCTCTCAACTCTTCCGATAAAGATGGTGAGCTAAGAGCTCTAGGGAAAGGTGATTCGTTTCGCAACCTTTAAATTGGAGTTTGTTACTTGGGACCCACGGTAGCTCAAACCAAAATCAGTCTATCAATATATGGTAATACTTTTACTTCCAATTATCTGATGCCACCAAAATGACCCAAGGTAGAATTGAACACATTTGAATGCATGCCACATCATCCCCCCTACAACCATTCCCCAAGAATACATTTTTTCTTTAATACAAACTGATGCAAGAATGCATCTTATAGATATACTAGATGTTACACCACATTCATAATGGACTTGCATAAACTGTAGTTTTTTTTTTTTTTTGAAGTAAAAACTTGCATAAACTGATTTTTATGTGACACAATCTTAACTTCCAGGAAAATGGGGTAATGAATCCCTAATAGGCCATACTGCTACTCATGGTTCTGATGTGAATTTTTCCAGGAGAGTCAACAGCTGTAGTAACAATAATTACAATTGAATGCTATGAATGAGGAGGCCTAATCCACATCCTTACAATTGAACTATCCTGTCAGAAGCTCTTTATATTGCCTTGGAAAGTATATACCATAAATTCATTACCAATGACTACAATTCAATGCTATAAATGAGGAAGCCTAATCTTTATCTACATCCTTACAATTGGAAGTCTAGTGCTAACCCATCAGAAACTCTTTATATGCCTTGGAAACTGTGCTATAAGTTTGATGGAGAATGGAAAAAACAAAATCCATTGGGAGATCACTGTTCTTCGAAATGATGGAGCACAATGGAGAGTGTGTTAACACTTAACACGTCATTTGTTCCCTCCTCCCTCCCTCTGAGAACCCATAATTTAGATTATCTCTTCAATGAAAGAGAGAAGAAAAGCTGAAAAAATCCACTTGACTCACCTCTCTTTCGCACTGACCAACAAAATTCTGTTGGTTCATTGAAGGCTGGTGATGGAAGTTTTGTAACTGCTCAATCTTCATGTTGAGATGTCTTTCTTTCTTCTTGTAATCGTCTGCGTTCATTTTCATCTCATACTGCCACAAGACAAATAGGAAAAATAAATCACGAGGAAGTATGTGGATTGTAAAGTCAGTCAAAGATTGTCCTGAAATAATATAAGTAAAAATGAGGAAAGCATTCGAATTGCTCACTTTTGTTTTTAAATTAGAAAATAACCACAAAAGAAAACAGAAGTGCATTCAAAGCCAACCTCTAAGCTACGTATTCTTTCAAGGAGGCCATAAACATAGTTCGCATCATGTTCAGATAATCCACTCGAGTCTTTGGTACTCGAACCACCTGTATTTAGTTCCTCGTTTCTGACCTTATCCTCCAATTTCAGTTCCTCTTCAAGAACTTGAGCTCTTCTTAGGTATCCATCTTTCTCTTCCTCAAGGTACTGAATCTTCCTCAGAAATTGGCTATTCACCCTCTTCATTCTGCCAAGTTCATTCCTCATCTCAGCTTCATGAACACTTAATGCATCCTTGGCAGTTAGATCACACTCCAATCGCAAAATCTTTTCTTCTAAAGCAATCTTACTATGCTTGGCATCCTCTCCTTCTGATACAGCCTTCTGCATATCTCTAATTTTTTCCATAAGTGCAAGCTTTTCTACCTTCATCTGTTCGTTACCAGTAGATAGAAATTTTAGAGAGGCTTCCATCCTGCTCTTTTCCAATCTCATCTCATCCAGGGTGCATTTAAGAGCCACAAATTCATCCCGAATATTAATTAATCTTTCCAATTGGGCCGTCAAGTCATCAGATTCCTCCTTAAGCTTCTGTTTCTCATTTTCAGAAGCTCTAAGCATAATCTCTAATTCATTTGCCATTCTTTTGGAATTTCCATCACTAGATTTTACTTCATCCAACAGTGTTTTGATACGCTCATAGTCAGCCATTACTGCTTCTTCTTTCTGTTTTGAATCAGAAAGCATGCCTAGCAACTCTTGAGCCCTACTGCTAGAATCATGCCTAATGTTAGACAGCTCTGTTTCTAACCATTTCACCTTCTCATGGGCTTCTTCTAAAGAAGATTCCAGTTTCAATTTGTCTTCCCTTAAACTGGAAACTTCAAGTAATGTGTTGGTTTCTGTTATCCTTCTTTCATTATCAGTTGAAGATATCACTGTAGTGAGCCTTTCTACTTCACTTCGGAGGTGATCGACCTCAATTGTCTTTTCCAAAAGCATCTGATCACACAAACTTTCAACAGCCATTAGTTTCTCGTTATGTTCCTTGCTTGCTGAAAAGAATGCTTCTAGATCTCTAGAGAATGATTGGTCCTTTGAAGCAACCTCTCTTTGCATAGAGGAAAAACCCATCTCTAGATATTCGATTTTGGGGATGTACGATGAACATTCATGCAACTTTTTTCTGAGTCTTCCCTCTAGCTCAGCATAATGCTCATGCAACTCCAATTTCTGCATCTTCATGTCCACATTCATTTTTTGTAGCGAATCACAATCTTTGACAAGGGCTTCGAACGTGGCTTCCAACCGATATTTCTCTCTCTTTAAGTACTGCACTTCTTCTTGGGCATCCGAAGCTTCCTTCTGACCATCTTGTAATGTCTGCCTCAGTTCATTGATTTGTTTTTCCATTTCAAGTTTTAGCCTCTCTATGTCACTCTGAAGGTTGGCTGCACGAGACCTCGAAATTTGTAACTCTAATTTACCAGACTCCCTCTCTTCCGTCAAATACCTTACTTGAGCTTCTAAGCCAGAAATACGCTCCGAGAGATTAACATTCTCTTCTTCCAGTTCAGATAAATGAGCCTCTAACTCACCTTTTTCACTTTCTAAATCCAATAATTTTTTCTCTAATGACTTCCTCACTGAAACATGAGATTCTAGGCTACTAGTGAGTACCCTTAGATCATGGCGCACATCATCCAAGCACTTGCTTGTGATACTGTTGTCTCGGAGAGCATTTTCATAACTTTCCTTCAAACCTTCATTTTCCTTCCTCAAATTCAATACCAAATCTTCAAGTTCCTCCTTTAATTGACATTTTGATTTAGAATCCTCATTTTGGATATTAACAACTAGATCAACAACACCGGACCCATTATTGTGACCTTTCTCCAGCTGCTGCTCCAAGTGAAATATATATGATTTAAGAATTCCCACCTCAGATTCAGAGCCTTTATTTGGAACACTGGTTGATAGGGAATCAGATTCATAAAACACCTCTCGTAGTGTTTCATTATTATCAACAGGCTTCATGGCATCCTTCTTTGCTTCATTCAACTTAACTATAAGATCCAAGTTTTCATCTGTCAATTCACTGCAATCTTTCTCAAGTTCCTGAACTTTTCTTCTTAATGACTCAATTTCGTTGAACAGATCACTCTTATCATGGCCTAGTTCCCCTGAAATTTTACTTGAAGGATGAATGCTAAGAAGATTGGAAACTTGGGTCTGTAACTTGACAATCTCATCTTCCAAAGCAGACATTTTGAGTGCCCACTTTTCCTCAACATCCATAACTGTCTGGTTCTTCAATTTCCTTTCTTGCTGAATTTCTTGATCCATCTCCTCAAGCTTTGTCTCTAATGATTCAACAACTGATTGTAATCGTTCTTTTGAATCTTCCAGCTCTTGCAGCTGGACTTCTAATCTCTTTTTCTCTCTCTCTATCTCTACAATTTCAGCCAGTTTTTCTGAAGATTCTTCGGAAACTTTGACAGACAAATGTGATAACCCACAGTTTTCAGGACCTGGCAGCACATTACGTTGTGCTGAAAGTGTTTCTATCTCCAACTTCTGCTTTTCTACTGTTTCTTCTAGTTCTTGTAGAATTGACACCAGCTCAATATTTGACTCCTGGGTTTTCATGAGCTGTGAACTCAAGTCAGAGTTGGATCTCTTCTGGAAATTTATCTCCTCCTTTAATTCCTTTAGAGTAGCTCCATCAGAAACTTTCTGTTTCTCTGTAGATTCTTGTACCCGTGACTTGATTTGTTCAATTTCCAGTTTTAAACTGTCGCGTTCGGCTCTTAGGTCTACGTTATCCATATCCATATCGGTGTTGAGCCTTGATTGATCAGAAAGTGCTTTCCTTTGACTCTCAAGTTCAAATTCTAGTTTATGAGCATTCCTCTCCCACATCATAGCTTGTGAACGAAGTTCCTCAACAGTAAGTTCAGGTGCTTCTAAAGAGCCCTTTGAAGAATCAGAGTTTTTCAAAGAAGAAGAAACATGAACACGGGGTGAGCTATGACCAGGAAAATCTTCTATCTTATTTTGAAGCCGACTCATTGATCCCATTCCTTTAGAGTTGAAGGATGAAGAATTCGAATTGTACAGATCTTCTCCATAATTAGCCCGGTTCAAAGAACCATTTTGAGAGCCAGTAGAATCTTTTCTTCTGGCCAAAGTGTTGATTGAAGCACTTGAATTGTGTTGAGTTTCTCCATAATTAGCATGGTTCATGGAACCATTTTGGGAGCCAGTTGAATCTTGTCTTCTGGTTAAAGTGTTGTACAAGGCAGTTGAATTGTATATATCTTCTCCATAATTAGCTTGGTTCATTGAACCATTTTGAGAGCCAGTCGAATCTTGTCTCCTGGTTATAGCATTTTTTGAAGCAGAAGCTGAGATCATATCACCATTTGAATTGTTCCTCGAGAACAAGTTTAACCCAGATAATGATCCTTCTCCTCCATCAGAACTATGATGAGAACCACTGGCCGACGAGCTCATGTCCTGAAATAAATGATAATTAAAGTGGTCAGCCATATGACAGAAAACGCAAGGACATATATCAGTAGCCATAACCATATTGCATCTGACATACCAATGGGTAATGAAAAACCATAATTAATTGAGGGCATCATCACCAGCAACTGAAATGATGGGTGGAAATGGAGAAAGACACCATAGGGATCATATGTTGTTCTAGCAGGTACTATTCTCTCTCAATCACCATCCATTGCAATAGACAGTGATGAACCCATGGATTGTGGTTTCCATTGCTCATCGGATTGTGGTTTTCTATCCCAATAATTAAAGACTCTCTTCTTAAAAATGGGCTCACATTGCGTAGGGAAACCTCCAGGATCAATACTAACTAGCAAGAGAACATAATTTACATAGTACACATGTGGCATAACAAAATCAAATAAGAATTTGTGGAATTTCATGAATACACTATAGGCACATTAACAATTAGAACTTCATAATGATCAGCATATAAAGAAGTTCCTCACAGACACTCTTCAATGACTACTCATATCTACCGGCACTAGTGACTAGGATATTAAGAACAAGAAAATCCCATGTACTTGTAATCAAATAAATAATCAAGATGGCTCAATAATGACAACAATAATACTAATATTTTAAGTTAACAGATAGCTGCAGCTTCACATCAATATTAGTTACAAGAATGATTAAAACATGGGTAACAGGAATTACAAATACGTATTCTCATCTAAGTGGCAACTTAGTGAACAAAACAGTGAGATTTTCCACAAAACTGACTCCTCTTCCTAGTGCTAATTCCAGATGTGATCTGGTTTATATGTCGGTCATGTCACCACACTAATGTACTTAAATTCCTAATGGCATTTCTGAGATTAGGGAGTACCTAAGTCTGAAGAATGCATTTTTGGCCCAAAACCAAATGACAAGTTTGCAATCCATTTTGTGTTCGTTAGCTGTAATGGCTTTCCATTTTAAGTATCTCTAAGGACTATAGTAGACAATTTTGCGCCAGATATACAAATCAAGGACATATCTTCCTTGCACATAGTACGTTAAAACGATAATAGTAACTCCTTGCTCAATCCAATACAACATTGAGATCTAGTTTTCTTCATGATACAATATCAGTTTGACCATGTGACTGAGATTCTCTACTACCATACAAGAAAATGTTGTAATAAGGGTGGCACTGTCTTAGAACTAGCACCATATTTCCATGCACAGGAAAAAGAAATAAAGCCCAATAAGTGCTCATGTTAAGATACTTAAGAGTCAAGAGTAATTAGAATTTTATTTGTTCCAACCAATTACCAATATTTAATACACAGCTCAAAACAGTCTTGTGTGACAATAATTCCAATTAGAGTTGTAAATAGGTCGGGTCTGGGTAGCATTGGACCCAACCTGTTTAGCTATAGGATGAACAAAAACAGCTCCGGATGTCCTCAACCTGGACCTGACCCGCAGGTATACTAGGTGGACGTGTACGAAGAGCCAGGATGGGAACCCAGTGTCCTGCCTGATCAACCTGATCCAATACACCTTCATACCTTATAAAAACGGGGTGGGGTCAGGAACGGATAAATCCAAATCCAGATGGAACCTTACCTGGAATATTTAAGCTTAGACCAGGATCTGGACTTGAACCTAGAGAGGTTAGGAACTGCTCAACCTGGATCCTACACACTAGGGTCTACCAGATCGAGCCAAACCATCCCTGATTCTACTTGGTACTTGAGTTACACAGTCAGCATCCTAACATTGATGGAGAATGGGAATGCTATGACAAAATTTCAAAGTGAAGTGCACACTTACGTAGAGGAACTTGAATAGCTGTAACTCTCATAGAAGCATGCGATAACTGCAAAAAAATTTGAACAACAAATAGGTTCTGGATGTTTTGTTGGTAAATGGTGGGACAATATGATCTACATAAGGGAAATCATAACACACCTATGATTTCAAATTTTAACATTCTACTCTTCATCAAAATACACCTGAATATAACACATGATTAGTGTCCTTTGATGAGCTTTTTTAAATTAAATCAAAAGAAAATGGCAAGTTGTAAAATAGTTTATCTCTCAGATTCGCTTTGATAAATTTCCATCTACTTAATTCAGGTGTTGAATAAACCAAGATTTCAAACTTTCACAAATATAACTGCATAGATTTACTCGCAACGCAATTGATGTACCAATGTCTTGAGATCTCCGTGCTGAGAAACACCTCCAAGATGGTTAAAGGAAGACCGATTGCTGCCAACATAGTTATCAGATCCTTCAGACTTTGAGTCTGCATCCTCATAGTCTGAAATCTGGTCCTCCTCATCGATTGAAGCTGTGTTCCCGTGCTTCCCTCTGCTGTGAAGCAAAAAAAAAAGTTAAAACATTGCACACTGATAAGATTAAAGTATGAGTACGCAAGCTACAAATCAGTCAGAGAGTACCTATATGTAGGTCTTTGAGTGGGGCACTGGATTTTGACCTGCACATATGTGAAAGGAGAAGTCAAAGAAACATGTTGCTTATATCAGTTTTGAGAAGGACAATTGATATGCTAAAGACATGTCTCAAGATTTTGGAGTGAAACGACTAAGGTTTCCAAAGTGAGTGATAATAAAAGATGCAAACTTATCTGTGTGCACAAATATACAAAATTAATCTATATTTTCTCTAAAGGCAATCACATTCCTCAACATCAAAATTAGTCTAGCTTCTGTATAATATACACACATAACATGATATTTGGACGTAGGACATGCAAAGAAGAATGCTGAGGAAGTGGTTTATTGGTTGAGAGAACAACACAGCAACAACCTGCGTTTGATGAGGTTAAAAGGTTTAGTAAGGAAAGTAGGGATGGTTTGGGTGGATGAGAAAGCAACTGAAAAGTATATTGAAGAAGAAAACCAACCATGGAAGTAATGACAAATGAAAATCCAAGGAAATGCAGTTTACAAAGTTTTCCCATCAAGCATAATATTTCTCAAAACAGCAGTAATTCATAACAGAGTTATTATATCGTGTAAACTTGAAGCATCCAAGAGACAGCTCACATTAGATTTCAAATATAATTTTTACTAGCAAGACATGTCCTCTTTAACCACACATATCTGTGGGTTTACATCAAAGTCTCAGAAAATAACAGAGAGAGAGAGAGAGGGATAGAGAGAGAGAGAGAGAGAGAGAGAGAGAGAGAGAGAGAGAGAGAGAGAGAGAGAGAGAGAGAGAGAGAGAGAGAGAGAGAGAGAGAGAGAGAGAGAGAGAGAGAGAGAGAGAGAGAGAGAGAGAGAGAGAGTAGTATAGTAGTAGTATAGTAGTAGTAGTACGTAGTAGTATAGTAGTA